TTTTAAATGAACCTTTTCGATCTAGCATTTTGCATGCAATTCAGTTATGTGACCGGATATTGCATCGAAATCCGAATATAATTTTTATAATTCGAAACTAAGACATTTATTGCAACCTGTTTTTAGAGTGTTCCTGTTAAACCTAGGGCTGCGTGGTTTACGAATGTCTACCATTAAATCCCTGTATTTGCAGTGTATAAAATGAACTTGAAATTTATCTAGAACGGACATCGGTGATCTAATTAATCAGTTCCTGCACCACTCCGTGTGATAAGCAGATATATGCTAGCAACTACGAAAATGTGTAGTTCTAAGATCTCTGACTTTAGTGTCGAAGGTTTATTCAACCGTTTTAATAAAACACTGCTAGAGTGCATTTTGTCAAATTATTATAAAAGAAACAAACTGGACACTGGCACTTACAGACCTTACTGTTGTGCATTTGACGTTTCTGCTCGATATAACAGCAAAAGATTACTGTTTGAACACGATCACCAAATAGACTTTCTATTCTGCACAAGGAAAAAGTGCATGAATTGGTAAATGAACAAGCAAGAACTTAATTGTACAATTAGCCAAAGCAATGGGAAAGACCAATACATTATACAAGTAGCTCTTTTAAAATCAACAAGAGAGCAAGTTCGTTGAAGTAACAGCTTGATGAGCCGGTCAGCTGCAATAAACGTCGATCCAGTCAGCCGTTAAAAATTTTTCATCATATCATGATGAAGTCTACCATTGCCTCACCGAACAACTTTCCCTTACATCAGTAAATATACAATTTGAACACAAGTAAGATCGATTAATGACTCTTCCATTTCAAAATGACCATTAGTCTACATTTCGATGAACGCCCGCGCCAAGCCATTTTTTCCGACAACGTGTTACACATGTTGCGCTGGCATATCAGCATTGCATCTTCTATAGCCTGAAAGATTTAAACACTGAAAAATGCCATGCAAAACACCACAGTTCGACAAACCGTTGAAACCTGTCATAGTCGTTCAATGCATTAATCTGCCGATTGAAGTGGCATTACCGATTCATCACATTGAAGCGTTGCGACGAAAACTTTTGCGATCAAGGACGCAGTCCCATCTCTAACCTAGTCCCCCTCCAACGAACATATAATGCGCCAGTAATCGTACCATAATAGCATAATTCTTAGCAAAGAATCTGTGATTTGCGACAGAAGATTCAAATTTTTGTGAAAAAAGCTAAAGCAACATCTTGTATTGGTTGTCACACTAGATAACCCTCTATCTGTTGGGTGCAAACAAACTGCAGTTCGAAGAGGCACTCACATCAACATGGCTGTGGGTTTGATAGTATTGTCGTACCGTAGCACCACTCTGTTCCTATTTCATAGCATATCAGGGATATGCTAAATGTTTTTTGTTTGGTTTTTGTGAGACAGTATCGAAAAATTTAACAGTGCGACATTTTCACTGCCAAATTTTTAATCCGATAAATTCGGCATTCGAAATTTTCATCTTGTAACTGTCCCTCCGCTTGACTTTCATCCAGACATTGGACCGACAACTTAGTTCAGGAAAAATGCAATTACTAATTTATATTGACACTGTAATAAAATTTCGTAATCAATGCAGCTGAAGTTGTTATATTTGGATTATAATGAAAATTTAATTTTGAAACTAGGCTCACTTTCTCAAACGCGTTTCTTTTCTGAGTTGTTTACATTTGTAAACTGTGACTTGTTTACACAAACAGTGTACGGTTTTTGGCCTATCCATGTTAATATTTTCTTACTAATATTACATTGTGGCATTTCGGTATTTATTCGAATTGGCATATTCGTGCTTTCGAAATCGCTTTTCGAATGACTGCTATGTTGTTTCATAAAGTAATTTATTCAATAATTAGACATTATAATAGAAACTTGTTGGTCATATGATATGTTACCGTAATCCGGCGGGATAATAACGAATAGTGTAGAATTTCATCGGCGAATTTGGTACAAGGAGGTCATTTTCAGTACATTTTGCGTACTAGATGTTTGGTACTGATTTTTAAACTGTACTTTATAAAATTGAATTGATTTCTTAGAATCCAATTACAGCTTTCCCGGATCGCAAGGAGGATTCGTTCCGAATGCCCCTGGCTCTAAGAAACTTGGAGTGGCGGTATTCGGATATTTTATTTTTTGTTTAACTCATTATGCAAATTTTTAACAATTTTCTTTCAATATCTGTGGTATTTTTAAGCTTTAATTATCACTGTCTTGAATATTTTTACTTCTGGGAAAAGAAATGGCGTAAAACCGAATATCAGCATCTGCAGGTAGTTTACTTTAGCCAGTGTCTGAAGAGGAGTAATAAGTATGGTGGTCGAAACCCTGCTCCATATGTTTTATTACTGTTTGCTCCGTCTGTTTTCTCTCAGAAGTAGAAAGTATGGAGTCTGTTACTAGTATCACTGCAACGAGGCATTCCAGGGTATTATAGTTCTTCTTGGTCTTGTCGGTCGTTAGGCATTGAATCTTTCATTATTATTTTTTCTTCTAACTTGCATAAATTTAACTGAAAATAATATCTTTTGAACACTTTGGTCCATTTTGATAGAAAGTCTGACTGAACTGTCCCAGGCGAATAGGTTATATGTCGCTTCGAACCGGCGAGTAGCACTAACATTGACGTGAATGTTTTAGCTCTGAAATTAATAAGGTATTTTTCTGCGAATCTGTTATATTTGTTTAATTTTCGATTTGTTGATTGGTTATCACGGTGAGTATTTTATTTTTGGGTTGCATTTTTGCTCATCTAGACAGTTATCAAAGGAGTTGAGGCGAATTTCAGCCGTAAAGTGCACACGTCAGATGTCGTGGCTACAATCTCACATGCTCTCGGATGACCACACAACAGACATACTGCCCTAATTTTATTCAAGTCAACGACTTTCAATCCCAGAATGGTTGTTTAGTGAACAAATGTAGAGTAATATGGATGTCTTGTTGATTTTCGGGATCGAAAGTTAGCGTTATTGTTTGTTTATCATCGACTCCGTTGTTCGTATATGCCATGCAATAGGCCGTAATTTAGTGGTATGGAGCGATTTGCTGTCACAGTAGATTTTTATTTCGTTTAAATGGAAATTTGGTCACTTAGTAAAAGCTTAATGGGCTTTGCTGCAACTTTAAAACCTATTTTAATTTGTTGATGTTGTATCGTCGTCATCAAAGGCGAACAGAACATAAGCAGCAAAACATTCCAGACTCACGATGTCTGACCTTAAGAAATGGTATCTTGGATTGATGTTAGACAGTGGCAAAGGTCATATTCGTCATCGCCAGCAAATTTGCCGCATCGACTTGTTTCCATGTTTTGTATTGTCCTCCATTGTGCCTACTTTCAATTGACGGTTTCTACGTAACAAGAGTTCTGGAAACACTTCCATTCTATTTTATTGCCATTTTTCAAACCCAGATTTACTCAGAACGGCACTCAAGGCTAAATGAAGAAGTAGAAGACGGTGATGTAGAGGATAAAGAACTTTACTCGCATTTTAGTGCAACTGACATGCACAAAGTAGTATTTCCATCTAAAAACGATAAAAATAGATTCTCACCTTGCAGATCTTCAGGAGCTATAGTATACATATGCATGTAAATAGATCCCGTGAAAATTTATCCTGATGATGGCTTTTGTGTCGGAAGCCGGAAAGTCGGAACAAAACAAAGGAGTGTCTTATGTCACACCGGAAGGATTAAAAAATGAGGAAATTTATAGACCCCGGTATTATGGATTTATTAACAAACAAGTAGTTTTCGATGCAGCCGGTAAGAATAACAATCTCTTGTTAAGTTCCCCGATTTACCTGACATAATCACACCGTTCCCTTGCTTCTAGTTGGTTAGGGAACTGTTTAAGCAAGCCACGGATTCGTGGTGCTTTAGCGTCTGCAGTGCATGGATACAAAACTGCATCACCGAGCAAGACCTGTTCCGACATCTACCGAAACATCGCTATCCGTGGACATTCATATACACAGAAAATGCGTGTATACGTAAAAAAGATCATGGGAAAAGTTGTACTCTCTGTTCAGATGAACGGCGGAAAGTGATGGAAAGTTTTGTCCATGCTTTCTTCTGCGGCTTAAGGCGGATGATGTCCCGCAGTGTTCGTTGTTAGAGTGTCTTTTGCTCCGGATATGTTTACCTTAAGAGTACGAGGGTTGTCATCCCGTTGATGCCGCTGTCTCGCTAAAGATTTTCAAGGACACAACGTTCCTTTGCTTTGATCGCCTAACCACTGTTCTAAAATATTGTTATGCTTCTGCAGAGGTTTGTAAATTTATTTATCTTTAAACGGCTTGTGGTCAATTTTAGATGCGCAATGCGCAGTTTTACGCCCCCGTGTCAGCGTCGATGATTCATCAGATGCTTCCAAGTCAAGGCACTCTTCGAATAGGAAGCTACGAGGTGCCTCATGTATGTGCTCTATCCTGTGTACAACGAAATATTTGATGAATACGTGCTTCGTTTTTTAGGTGAGCGTCGTCGGCATCGTTCGCTCGGTCACGAGAGACCCGCTACATGTGGACTACATGATTGACGACATGACGGGACCACCAATCGCCGTACGCAAGTACATCAACGTGGTAAATGCGATTGATGGCCATTTTGTCCAGTCGTCAAAATGTTCTGGACTTTGTGATTCAGGAAAGCCCATCGTCGAACGTAGTCGCCATGGAAAACACTTATGTAAAGGTTTGCGGCAGCATCAAAAATTTCGAGGGCAAAAAGTCGATTGCAGCGCTCGGAATTATCACAGTAACGGATCTCAATGATTTAACGGCCCATCTAATGGAAGTAGTGCAGTGCAAACTGTTCTACACGAAGGTAATTAATGATTTTTTTACGAAGATTTTGTGTCCCACACCATTTGCGAACAACCTGGTTTTCAGGATTCCAATGCACCTCTCGTGTTTTCCTTGAGTCAACTCTTTGCTTTTCAGGATTTCTTGAAGCAGCTCGCAGACAAGGGTACCGGAACAACCCACGTTCCCGCGTTTCCTACGGCTTCCGGTTTTCCTGCTGCCCCTCAGAATCAGTCGTTTGTCATTGGTGGTTTAACTGGTTTCAACGCAGAGGTATGAGTGTGGTTTCAACGCAGAGGTTTTGTACCATCGGTCTATATATGTTCTCAGGTTTCGGCTTCAATCCAATGGCCTTCTTCGGGTAAATAATACAATATATCATATGAATAGCAAACCCATAATACCATGGTACAATTTTTGTTATACATGCCTATGAATCGAGGCATATTCGTTTCGAACAGGTTATGTAGTATTTCACGCAGTCGGAAGGTCGTTTGTCAATCCGACCTAAAAAATTTTATTACCAGAGTTAATTAATGAAATATTAAGTTAATTGGAGCTTTATGTATAACATTAATATGATATTTATTGTTAAGTAGTCTGTAATTTTTCACTAAAATAAACTGGTATTCATTTTAATTAAGGCTGCTTAAGAAGGTACCAGTGTTATGCATAAAAGCTCCAATAAACTTAATACTTTAAGTTATTGTTTAAGTTTAATTGTCTGTCTCTCACAATAGCAACTTTACAACTCTGATCATGCAACACGCAGCAGAAAATGGTCACGACTCCCAATGATTAGATTGCAGGGGCGTCGTTAAACAACTGAACTGGCTAAGCAGATGAATCAAAGAAACCACAGTTATACAGTTCTGCGAAAATGTCAACCGGGACAAATGATACGAACTCTGCGCCGATTGGAACGCCTTATCAAACTCGTGGCTCAAACATATTTAACCAGCAGCTTAAGCAGTACACCTTCTGCTCCAGACGTCACAACGTTTGCAGACCGCACAACTAACTGCAGAAATCAACCCATCCACCCTTAAGAGGGCTCGTGAGAGACGAGTATAAACTTCTGTGCTGGCAGAATACCTGATTGACTAACTTATTCGCTTGCGTTGTATATAAATAAGCAGTTTTGATGCATTTTTCAGTTTTCATTATGAGCACCAACGCATGAAAAGATTACTTATTTTACTGTTACATTATAAGTAATGTTATGTCATGTAACACTGTTCATATTTAAGATCTTCAGTGGAGAGCAAATTTGATGGATACCTTGTGATTTTATGAATTCTTGCTAGAATTTTCAAGTGTGATGATTTAAATTTAGAAGAAGAAAATTTGATGGTGAAGATTAAAGAGAATGGAAAAAAGAAGGTTCATTTGAAAAGACATAAGCAGGCTCATAATCCTAATGATGATAGATAAAGAAATTGGCAGCCTGGAAAAATATATAAATATATGTATCACGCGAAGCCACAGTGGTATAATACAGAAGGTCAGTAGGAAGTAACGATTCGTCAGAGATGGAAATGCTGGTACAGACTTGTTTTCGTCAGTTGAATCTCTATCCCTGTAGAATCTGCATGGAATGATACAAAATTCGAGGGATATAGGTTTGGTCTGAAGTGTTTTTTTTCACAGTCACCAATCTGAAGTTGCATGTAGCAGATTTAACAGTTGTAAATTAGTTTATTCAGGTTCAGCAAAGGTTTCATAAGGTTCAGTAGCTCCATT